TACTACAGACAAAACCATGGGTTAATAAAAAACTACTAAACCGACAAAACCACGCTCTTGGAGCTTGTTTAAGACCATAGATAGCTTTCCGAAGCCTGCAAACATGATTAGGAAACTGAGGATGAATAAATTCAGGAGGCTGACGCATATAAACTTCTTCAGTTAGATTGCCATGAAGAAAAGCATTTTTGACATCTAACTGACGAATAGACCACTTATACGAGACAGCAAGTGTAACACCCAACCCGCCAGGTCGGGCCGGTTCGGGGTAGATGTCATTGTCGTTTATCATTTAGTAAAACTTTCCAATTAAATTAGAAAACTTTTAATTAAATGTAATCGTAATCGTTTTATTTATAAACATGTCACCAGAAAAATATAATTGTCAGAATGAATAAAACTCACTTTACTAAAATATTATAGCTTTATTTTTAAGACTTTGTTGGTCATACCAACTCAAAACATGAAAATAAAATAAAACACATGCATTGCAGTCCTCTCCAGATGTCTATCATCCCGGGCTCCAGCTTGCTCTCATATTTACCTACGTGTAGAAAAACTACACGCTCAGCAATTGAATTGCTGAGTGGTACTATAATATAACATGTAGTAATAAAATATATGAACATGTATTTATCACTTTAATTTAAGAAATTCGTACATGTAAACAACTAACAGAGATTTATTGAAGTTAAACAACAATTTTCATATTAACTTTACATCTTAATTCAAAATACTTCCTAGCTTTTCATGTACTTATAACGTGGTGGAAAAATAATTCCACATATAAATAGATGTATAACAGAAGTCATATATCCAATGAGGAAATCATCTTCTTAATTCCTTCAAAATGACTATAATTTATTTTTCAACGTATTCATTTAATATTCCATTTCAGTCTTTACTCCAAGAACCAGACTCTAGCTAAGGGTACAAATAATATAATCAACTGTAGTTTCGTGGACCCTGGCCTAGGGTCATATGCTAGCTTACCGTGGAGAACGAATTGTCGAAACAACCCGAACTCAGCGTGGAGTCGAAGTCGGTGTAACCAACTCGCGACCCAAAAACGTGGGAAACAAGACTACCCAAACCGGAGTTCAAGTAATCTTGAGACCAAAACTGTAAAACGTGGTACCCGAAAATTAGAATTTCTAATCCTAGAGTAAAGCCCTTAAAAAAATCTCTTAAACATACTTGACACATAATTTTGAGTACCCATAAATTCATATATTTAAAATTATAGCCAGTCATAGTAATCATATTTAATTATATGGAAATTACTTCGTAAATGCACATGCATAAAATTAATCTCATACACATAAGTATACACATAAGTGATACGTACAGTACTTATAAATCATACAGATAGATTATATAGAAATTACTTCAAATAGGACTAAAACTATGGCAAAAACTCAAAATAGTACTTGCTGTGTTTTTTATTCCAAAATAGGACCATAGTGGTCCTATTGGAAACATACTCATTTCTTCCTTCCATTCTTACCCCTCCTTTAAATATTAGTAAAAGATAGCTAAAAGTCATAATTAAATGTTTAATTCATAATAAATTCGAAAAAAATTCAATAATTCGTAGAAAAATAATAAAAAAATTAATAAAATTTTAATAAAATAAAAAATAAGAAAAAAAATTTAATTTTTTTTTGGAAATTAATAAAAAAATAGTAAAACTCCATAAAAAAAATTAAAAAAAAATATGGATACCTTTCCCACCGCCTGTACTACCTCCCTGAACCACCACCTCCGATCGGTGTAAAAAATGCCACTTTTTTTTTAAATTCCACAAAAATGGCATATTTCTCTATGAGAATGCCAACATTTTCATTCTGCCTACTTGAATCCTTTTGACTTTTGCCAAAAATATGGCATTCATAATTTTTTTGGCATTTTTTTACCCCGGTGACAGGAGGTGGTGGTACCGCCTCCCTGCACCACCACCTCCGACCATTAAAAAAAATGTCATATTTCCTACAAACTTCCATTTTTTCGGAAAATGCCAAAAATATGGCATATTTCTCTTTGACAATGCCAACATTTTTTTCTTCCATCTTAAATCATTCTGAATTATGCCAAAAATATGGAATTCATAATAACGTATTTATAAGGTTTGAATACGTATTTTTACATTTTTATGATTAATTTCTAAAATTTAAATACATTTTCTATTTTAGACTTTGTATTTATAATTTTGCATTTTCTGTTTTTCCTTACTTCTAATATTTTTCTATTTTAATTTTATATTTTTCTTTTATTTTTAGTTTTAATCATTTAAAATAAAAATAAAAATCTTTCTAAAACTTAAATTAAGTGAATCTTGGAGCTTGGCTTATATGCCGTATTATTTTACTCCGTATCAAAGGTGTAGAGCATTAAAAAGGATGTTGACATGCGTTTCTTTAGAATATACGGAGTAGATTGCAGGCCCTGCCCCCAATAAACCAATAGTAATCATATCATATATATATTATACTAGGGAAAAAATTAACCAATAGAATATGCCCCCAATACAAAAGTGAAATGCCCCCAATAACTCAGTGCGGCAATGCTGAAATTAGGGGTGGGCACGGTCCGAGACGGTTCGGGATTTGACTTGTCCCGATCCCGTCGCTGTTTTATAATAACGGTCCGGTCCGGTAATGGATAAGTCTTTATCCCAATGTTGTCCCATTTAAAACGGGACCAGGACAACCCGAGAAAAACCGGGACGGTTCGGGATGTCCCATAAAAAATATGCATTTGTGAAATGTGATATTAAAATAAGCATAATATCAAAATAAAGACGCAACTATTTTTGTAAATTTAGCTTTCCTAAAAAGTTAAGTAAAACCTTTAATTAACTATTTTTAATTTTTGTCTTGTAATTTTTCTTGGTCCCCCTAATTTTGTGTTTCCTCTAGTAGAATAGCAGCACAAAATATTTTTATACTTTGTAGTACACTTGTAATTTTTCAATACCACATTAAATTAAATTTCATATCTATAAAGACACTATATATATATATATATATATATATATCAATGTTCTAAAAGGCGCTAGGCGCTAGTCGGGCGCCAGCCCAGCGCCTAGCGCCTAGTCGGCTAGGCGGGCGCCTAGGCGGGGACTAATCGGAGACATCGAAATTGTAGTTTTATCAATATTTTTGCATAAATATGATTAGTAATGTTGTGTTTGTGTGTATAAAAAATATATATACACACACATACACATTAACATGCATGAATGATAGAGTTATCACATTTAATAATATGTTATATCTACTCACTTAGTCACTTACTCACTAGTAGCTTTCTTCACATGCATTGTCAAAGTTAAAGATACATATTTCTTAGGATAGTGAAATAAAAAAGCAAAAAAAAAAAAAATTGTTCGATGAATCTAGACGCCTAGGCGGCCCATTAAGCGCTCTGGGCGGGCAACTAGGCGCCCTAGACGGCCGACGAATTCACCTAGGCGCTGATTTAATTAGTCGGAGCGCCTAGACCAAAATCGGGGCGCCCGACCACCGCCTAGCGCCTAGGCGGGGACTAGTCGGACGCCTAGAGCGATTTTTAGAACAGTGATATATATATATATATATATATATATATATATATATATATATATATATATATATATATTCTAGTAGTTATTTTGGAAAATAATAAATCTATAACAACACTATAATTTGGAGTAGTAGTTATTCCATCATAAATTATATTTCGCACGTAATAATATATTATGGATACATAAATTAGTATTGGAATGAAAACTAAACAAATTAGTATTGGAATAAAAACTAGTATTGGATTTTATGATAAAAGTGCGGAATATATGATTATTCCGCACTTTTATATGAATGAAAACTATATGATTACTTAATCTATAACAACACATAAATTAGTATTGGAATGAAAACTAAACAAATTTTAATCAAAAGAAACAAAAGAAAAAAGACTAAGAGAGACATGAAAAAAGATAAAATTACACTAGGGAGACTGAGGACTAGAAAGTTTTAATGCGGTTTGACTATTACATAGCCTTAGAAATTTAAAATAACATATTAATTTCAAACGGGACACCGGGACGGGACATGATATTTAATAGCTGACTCAGTCCTGTCCCAGTTAATATCGGTGCGGGACCGGTTCGGGATGAAATAATAGTGTCCTAATTAAATGGATCAGGATAATTTCGGAACGGTATCGGGATTTTTCGGTTTGGGACACCGGGACCGGGATTTTTGCCCACCCCTAGCTGAAATAACACTCCGTATTCTCGATACTTCAGCTTTAATAAACCAATCGAGCTCCGCTCCTCCGTATTGCAAAAGTGTATGATTATCACTTTCTCTTGTAAGCCTATTAAGTATTAAGTTATTAACTAATTGAGTAATTTGCGTTATTGTATACTTGATATTTTGTATTCCGTATGTGTGTTATATTGTTAATCTGCTTATGTGTAGATTTGATGATCAAGCCCTTTTTATGTACGTATGTAGTATTTAGATTATAATAAATAAAGAGTACGAAGTATAAAATATCCCAATTTGTTCTCAAAAAAATCCTAATCTATTGAAGTGCTAGTGTGTTTATGCACTAACTTACTAACTTTAGCATGTTAAAATTAAGGGATAAATAAAAATTAACAATAGAAAATTTGCAGATATAAAAAGCATTACAATGAAAATAGAATTATGATTGGTTGTCTTGTTTACTTTATATGGAGTAGAAAAAGATGTATTTGGAATCGTTATGTTGGGATATATTATCCCGGCCTATTACTGTTCAGGAGCCCAAGACATTATCCAGTACGGAGCCCGAGCAGCTAGGTCCATTTCGGCCCATTCTGGCCCACTTTGGCCATTAGGCCCGACATCGGCCCGTTTGGCCCATTAGGGTGGAGTACTTCCCTCACCCCTTTCCCTATTTATAGGATGTTTTCCCTCCATGTAAAGGGTCTTTGGATCCCTTTTCCTTCTTCCTTCTTCCTCTAGAATAGCTGACAAGACTCCATTAATGGGAGCTCAAAATGTACTATGTAATGGTGAGGAGAGTCCTAATGAGAAAGAGAGGGCTTGGACATTAGCCTAAAAAGTCCCGTGGTTTTCTCCCTTTCCGGGTTTCCACGTAAAAATAGCTTGTTCATACACATTTATACATATATTTACTATATCGTGTTGGATTAAACTCAACACTAGTGAAATGGAGATGCCTCGGGTCAGGCCTACCTCACCAAAGGGCAAATGAAATGCATGTACCTCGGGTCTCCACCTCTCCACTAACGCAGTCACAAGAGACCAATCTAACTGCAATTGTCCTATTCTCTCCACACCATGAAACCCCGATACTCTCAGCAACTGTACCACCCCAAGATGACGCGGACCCTCCTCAACGTAGGCTTCTCTCGAATAGTGCTGGCATTTCAGTTTGACGTCACGAAATGATGATTCATGCCACACACGATCGGCACGATGCTCATCGGGTAGCATAAATAACACTGAACGATCATGAGGCCCTGGTTGTGCAACTCGTTCGGCCATTACAAACCTACAATTAACAAGCAAACATAAACTAATTTTTTTTTACATGTTCTTAAGTCATTCATTAAATGTGTTTAAAAATTTTATGTAGTTTAACATTAAAACTAACGGTATATTTTGATGTGTCCGCTATTATTTTATAACTACTTAAATATTAATATGAATTATATATTTACCAATACAACTTATGAATTTATTAAATATTTTATATATTTTTTAACAACTAAAACGCAGTATGTCATTTTTCTATTCACCTACTTTTATAGAAATATTAAACCTTTTTCTACAATTATTAATACTAATATAATAATAAAAAAAGATTACTACACTTATTACCTACCTACAACTTACTCCGTAATATCACTGAGTGCGTATTCCGAGATATTTTATCTGATAAAGTGTATTTTTTTATCTGACACGAGACATTATTGGGGTGGTTGGAATTTATGAGGTTAGGTGTGGAGTGGATGAGTGCGTATTCCGAGATATTTTATCTGACCGGGAATATTTTTATCTGATAAAGTTTTTTTTATCTGACCGGAGACATTATTGGGGTGGTTGGAAATAATGAGGTTAGGTGTGGAGTGGATGAGTGCGTATTCCGAGATATTTTATCTGATCGGGAATATTTTTATCTGATAAAGTGTATTTTTTTATCTGACCGGAGACATTATTGGGGTGGTTGGAAATAATGAGGTTAGGTGTGGAGTGGATGGGTGCGTATTCCGAGGTATTTTATCTGACCGGAAATAATTTTATCTGATAAAGTGTATTTTTTATCTGACACGAGAAATAGTATGTCATTTTTTCTATTCACCTACTTTTATAGAAATATTAAACCTTTTTCTACAATTATTACTACTAATATAATAATAATAATAAAAGATTACTACACTTATTACCGACGTAAAATTTACTCCGTAATATTTCAAGTCATAAATAAATATATGCACACATTAATAACAGAAATTGTATCTAATTATAAATAATAATAATACTAATAATAATAATAACAATATTGAATAAGGAGGAGGAGGAATAAGTTACTAACCTTTTGAGGGGTTGAGAGGAGGTTGAAGGGGGCTCGGATGAAGGTATGGGAGGAGGCAGGTGGGGAGGTGAATTTATAACAACAAAACTATCCTCCGATATGTAGCCAACCAATCACGAAGCCCGGAAATCTAATCCTCTGAATTCGGATTTGGCAGATCCGAAAATAATAAAGCCTGACGCAACTCTGTTTTCGGAGTTCAGAAATCCGAAATCCATAAAGTGTTTTTGACCACTTTTTATTTTCGGAGTTGGCAACTCCGTATTGGCTTTTATTGTCAAAAAAATTGGATATGTCTTATTTGGAAACACCTGTTACAAAAATGCTTTGTTTCGTCATTTCCTCTTATTTAGTCTATAAATTCTTTTTTTTTTTGAAAACATTAGTCTATAAATTCTTATGTATTGTTTTACAATTTTTTGCTATTCGGATATCTCATTATATTTTATTCCGCCCCCAATAGCTCAATTTTCTGGATCCGCCACTGTGGGATGGGCCTTTTATACATATAGCCTATTTTGGAAAACAAAAAGTCAACTAGTCTACTTTTGAAATAAATTTAAAAAGGGATATAATAGTGATATTACTTTGGCTTTTAAGCCCATTCGTGAAGTTTTCCCAAAAAAAACAATATGAGATTATTAAAAATTTAATTAGTTGGGTATATAAATGCAAGGTAACTAGAGTAAGTCATACGAAAGTCTAATTTCTTGAAATCTTCCATGTATAGTTGTCTCTACTTCAATTCAAATTACATGCATGCATGTGATTATGCATGTCACCCCCAAACATGAAACAGCCCACCATGTTGTCTCTACCTATATATACACATCCGGCCAGTAATATAAAAAATTATAAACCACACCCAGTAATATTCTCTTAGTGTGCATTATTAATTGTCCAAATTAACCCCAAACTAGCCAAAAATGGCCTGCGTTTCTTTCTTCTCCTCCACCACCACCACCCCAAATGTTTCCCATTTTGCCCCACAAACTCGTCGTCGACTTCACGTCGTAGCATGCAACGGTAATGCCGCCGGCGAGGAAAAGCGCCACCTTGACGCCGGCGGGTGTAAGTTTGATAGGAGAAACATGTTGGTTGGTTTGGGAGGGCTGTATGGATACGGGGCTCTAACCAATCCACTCGCCTTCGCGGAGCCCATCAGCGCATGGAAATGCGGCCCGGCCCAACTGCCCAAGTACGTTGACCAGTCGCTGAACTGCTGCCCTCCGTTGACCGGCGGGGAAGCAAACATAGTTGACTTCAAGTTCCCACGTGGGCCCACCACTATGCGAGTGAGACCGGCGGCCCATGTGGCGGCTGACGATGAGGCGTACGTGGACAAGTTCACCAGAGCCGTCGACCTCATGAAAGCACTTCCCGACGACGATCCCCGGAGCTTCCGTCAACAGGCCAACATCCATTGTGCCTATTGCAACGGCGGGTATAATCAGGGCGGGTTTCCTGAGCAAGAGTTTCAGATTCATAGCTCCTGGCTCTTTTTTCCCTTTCATCGCTGCTATCTGTACTTCTTCGAGAGAATTTTGGGCAAACTTATCGACGACCCCACTTTTGCGATGCCGTTTTGGAACTGGGACCACCCCGCCGGCATGACGATGCCGGCCATGTACACACAAGACCCAAAATCTCCTCTCTACAACAGTTTTCGCGACGCCAAACACCAGCCGCCAAACATTGTTGATTTGGACTGGAACGGGACCGATAAAGATATGCTTAGTAATGAAGAGCTTGTGTCTTATAATCTCACTACGATGTACCGTACAATGGTGTCGCTCGGACGGACCACTAGCAAGTTCTATGGGAGCCCGTACCGAGCAGGAGACGAGCCCAACCCCGGTGCGGGGTCCCTGGAGCTCAGCCCACACAGCTCGGTCCATTTCTGGACCGGGGACCGGACACAACCCCTAGGGGAGGATATGGGGAGCTTTTACGCCGCCGGTAGGGACATGTTGTTCTATGCCCACCATGGTAACATCGATAGGATGTGGTGCGTTTGGAAAAATTTAGGAGGAGGGCATCGTCGAGATTTCTGTGACCCGGACTGGCTCGACACGTCATTCATTTTTTACGATGAAAACGCGCAGATGGTCCGCATCAAGGTCCGAGATTGCTTGGACTCAAAAGATCTTGGATACGTATTTCAAGACGTGGAGATCCCGTGGACCAACTACCGCCCGACCCCACGTGTCTCTCGGGTTTTGAGAACAAAAAATAAGCTCTCGAGAGACAGGATGACGGGTCAGGGGGGCTTTATGCTCATCTGGCATCCAGGGACACTTGACAAAGTGGTGAAGGCAATGGTGAGAAGGCCTATAAGGAAAAAGAAGAGAAGCCAGAAGTATATGGGTGATGCTAATGAAAACAAGGAAGAAGAAGAAACTCTTTTGATAGAAGGAATAGAGTTAGAGAAGGATATTTTTGTCAAGTTTGATGTCTTAATCAATGATGAGAGTGTCAGTGCTACACCAATGGACACCGAGTTTGCAGGAAGCTTTGTGAGCGTGCCACATGGCGGTCACCATAAGCATGATAGGAAGATCATCAAGACAAATCTGAGGCTATCCCTAAATGAGCTCTTGGAAGATTTGGGTGTTGATGCAGATAATGATGAGTGTGTGTTGGTGACTATCGTTCCAAGGGCAGGATGTGAGGCTGTGAAGATTGGAAGTGTCAAGATTGTGCTTGAGGATGATTAATTAGTTCACTAATTAATTAACATGTTTATTAGGATGTTCGAGCAAGTCATTAACTTAGCTTGCATTCTGAGAACGCAGGTTGTAAGACTTCAATATTTCTTCACTTTAATTTCCCGACGTTGTTACAATAATATTGGTATTGAATTCACAAATACTCCGATCCGTACAATCATACATTGAAACATCCATCATTTACTACATAAGTTAATACTATCCTCCATTTTTTAGTCTGAGATAGATCGGTCATATGATTCTTTTTACTTAATTATACTACTAAATTGTTTCATGTTTCTACATTGTGAAGTCCTTTATTCGAAGTGCAGCGTTTGACATTAATCAATAATCCATTTTATGGTCCTTATATTGCACATAAATACATGAGCCAAGTTAGTTGGCCTAAAATATTGATAAATGGATACAAATGTAATTATTATAATTATCTTATTAACTTATAAACAAATTTTTAATTGTCTTTCTAATAAGTATTTGTGTTAAATCAAGTAAGAGTTTGGGTTTAACTTGGGACTCTTCTCCAGTATTCAATTCTAATAAGTATTCAACTAATGTTAGTTCTAATTTTTCATTGCATCATCATTCATCAATAAATATACATCAATACATGTAAGTTCTCTCTATTTTATAGTTATTCGTACTGTTTTTGCATAAGGTCTTAAATAAATTATTGGGCTGCATGTCAGCAGCAGCAGCAGCAACAACAACAACAACAACAACAACCAAGCTTAGTCCCAACAGATTTTAGGGTTTTGATTACATACATATATAAGGGGAAGAAAAGAACAAACATAAAGCAAGCAAAGAAGGTGAAAAGAAAAATGGTATGGTTGCTAAGGTACTTTCATTTTTATTACTAACTTTCTCATTGTTGAAGTAACTACAAGTGTCTGATTACCTTCTTCATTCATTGTTTTTTTCATACCTCTATAACTTATATTTTACTTCAACTTATATTGAATTGTGCAGTGCGAACAATGAAAAAAGTTCAGGCATGTTCAGAAAATCTGTAAGTTCAGAAATGATCCATAACAAGCTCAGAATGCTGAAGAACAAAAAGAGGCGGAAGAGAACCTTTTCATGTCTTCAACAGTTCAAAGAGGCTTGGTGAATCATCCAAAATCTGATTCATGGTTGATAGAAAGTGGTTGCACAAACCATATGTCTCCTGACTTGAGTATTTTCAAGTTCCTTGATGAGAACTATCACTCAAGAGTGAAAGTGGGAAATGGTGAATTTCTTCCAGTCAAAGGAAGAGGCACTGCTGCAATCAAAACTAGTTCAGGTACTAAAATTCTTCAAGACGTGCTTTATGTGCCTAATATTGTTTAGAATTTGACTAGTGTGGGGCAACTGGTTGATGCTGGTTTCTCGTTGGCCTTCCATGATAATATTTGTGATATTAGTGACAAAAGTGACGTGGTAGTTATAAATATTAAGATGCATGATAGAAGCTTTCCTCTAGAATTGAAGAATGCAGATCATGTAGCCTATCATAGTGTAGTTTCTAAGTCAAAATTACTGCATAGTAGGTTGGGTCATTGTAGCTACACAACTATGTCACAAAGCAAAAGCGTGATTGGCTACTGTTGCTCTCTTGGTTCAGGCATGATCAGTTAGAAGTCAAAGAAGGGATCTGTTCTTGCTCAATCAACTACTGAAGTTGAATATATTGCAGCTTCCAAAGGAGGAAATCAAGCTGTCTGGCTAAGAAAAATTCTCGTTGATTTGAAATTGGAGCAAAAGAATGCAACTGTGATGTTCTGTGACAGCAAAGCAGCCATTGCCATCATAAAAAATCCAGTGCTTCGTGATAAAACGAAGCATTTCAAAATCAAGTTTCACTCAGTAAGGCAGTTGCAAAGCGAAGGTGATATTGATCTACAATTTTGCTCATCCGAAGAGCAAATTGTTGATGTACTCACCAAGGTTCTGCCAAAACACAGGTTTGATGTTCTGTGAGAACAACTTGGAATGCGAAGACTTAGCTCCATGGGGGAGTGTTCAAGCCAGTGGTCTGGTAACTCAAAAGAATGGAGCAAAAGTTTATCTAAATTCATATGTTAAGATATTTTATTAAGGCCTTACTTATCTTCTTATCTCTTACAATCTAGCCACTAGGTAGAAAGAGTGTAAGGCTTTGTACCCACTTGCCCACTTGCTTAGCAAGTGGATGTTTCTTCCCCACTTGTTGGTTGTTAAGACTTGTAAGACCCTGAGTCTTTAAATTCTGCAATATGATAGAAATAAAATTTAGCAAGCTATTATCAAAAACTCTCTTCCTTCTCTTTATGTTTTCTCTATTCTTTGCATTCTTGCTCTTAGTCTAACACACAAAATTCCTACATTTAGGAGAATTTGGGCCAAAAGGGTGAACTTTTTGTCTTTTCCTACTGTTTGGCATGGCCGGGGTCTTTATTTTTTATGGGTTGTCTAAATTTTTAAGCGGTTGCTGCTTTTTATCATCAAGAATGCTTTATTGAGGTGCTCATTTCTCTGTTTCACTAACTACTCCCATATTGTTTTAAATGCAGTCATTTTTATCTTTCCTTAAGATTAGAATTACACCATCTCTTTGTTTTGATTTCGTATCCGAAAAGGACATTTCCTTTGAGGGTTGACATTTGACCTTTAGTTCCCCATTTGTTTTCCCCGAAAAGTAAAACTTTTGTTAAAGACAATTAAAAATTACATGAAAGGAAATGAAAAAGAGGAAAGCAAGGGAACATAGAGTGTCAGGACCGAGCCTAGGTGTTTTCTACTAATTTTATGATCTAATAGTTAAATTATCAAACATTTTCTGATTAATCATCAACTTATTCCGCAGGTCAAACTCGATGATTGAATCTGCTGTTGACAACCTGCTAATATAATTCGATATCCGTTAACCGTTAACCGCTAAATGTCAAACACGCGCCCATTACTATATTTGTATAAATAAGTTTTATCATATTAATATTTTGTAAGAAACTCTTTTATGAAATAATTACATATTTATGTTGCGATCAGGCAACATAAATATTGTTGCGATCAGGGAAGGAACTGAGGAACTACGAGCATGGGTTAGTCATAAATGATGTAAATACATATTAAGGGGTAGAGTTGTGTTAAATGTAGGCTATTGAGTTTGGATTAATATTAATTTACTTGATTATTTTCTTTTTGATTTATTGGTTTATTGACACTTTGGCATGTGAATATCCAAAATTATTGAAGTACTTATGGAATTAATTTTTTATATGTAGTCAACATATTGTTGTTTTTTGGAATGATAAAAAATTATGTAAGAGCAAACAGGTCAAAAATTAGACTAAGTGAGCTAGTTATATTATCGATTGAAAGAATAAAAAATAGTTAGCTGGTTTTTATTGTAGCTATGTTCTTACCAATTTTGCACTTCAAAATGCAAGAAAAATAAAATGAAGTATTAAAGGTACTTCGTATAATTTTATTGAGTTTTGCATATGTTAACGATTACAAAATTATTCTTTGATACATTCACAATATATTGTACACTTCAATTGTGATTTATCATATTGTGCATTTTTATTCAACTTATCTGATATAAGTTTTTTATGAATTTTGTACTATAGAGAGATGTTTCTCCAAAAGTACTACTAAAATAAAGCTTAGGATGTTTTTACTTGGACTGTAATTTGCTGGTTTGGTCTGATCTGGTCTGTCTGGTCTGAACTTGTCTTGTCTGATCTGGTTTCTTTGTATTTTTATAACAATCCAATTCAAGTCTGGTCTAGTCTGATCTGGTCTAGCCTGTGACAAATTATAGTCCAAGTAAAAACATCCTTATTTACAAAAATATGATCAAATGTTACAATCCAATGTCATTGAATGTAAAAATTGAAAATACGTTCTAACGACTTGAGACACTAATATTGTCATTAGATATGAGTGGTCCCATTTTTATAAATACCTATTAACATGGTTATCAGTTTGTAGTTACTCCACATAAAAATCACATGAATATAATATGTAAATATTAAATACTCTATTTCATAATCAAAGTCACAGTCAAACTTTTTGAGTCAAACTTGTTAAACTTTGACTGCTTATTAATCAAAATTAATAATATTTTATCCCAAAAAATTATATAATGTGGTTCATTGTAATATGTATCATTCAAATGTCAATTTATTATAGATTTTATATGTATATATTAACAGGAAATTACGATCAAACGTTTACCTAGGAGATTGTGAAAGTCAAATTGTGACTTTGATTGTAAAAGGGAGGGAGTATATTTTTGTCTACAGTCCAGTATCCTATAATGGCCCTGAATAAAACAAAAAAGTATTGGCAAAAAGTAGTTTAAAACAAAATTTTAAGGACATGTTTACTTTGACGTTAAACTCACCGTTAGGTTATTAACACGCTCGAAGTAAACAACTCACGCGGGATAAAAGCACGGTTGCTAAGCAGTTGGACCCCTTTAATCGGCGCTTATTAAACGGACACCACCCCCATGTTTTATTTAATCGGTGCTTTAAGCATTTCGGTATGGCAATTCTGCCCTTATTTCAGCCGCTCCTTCTCCATCCTTCTCATTCTCACAACTTCTCATTTTCTGCCAAACTTATCTCTTACAAACTTTTGGTCACAAGAAAAATTCTCCAACCTCAGGTAATTGGCACCGGCAGAAATCCCTGTTTTCGCTGACCATCGTTCCTTGTATATACCCACAATAATTTGTATTACCGTAATAGATAGTATATGTGTGTGTAAATTCGAATTCAACCACAAGAATATTTTATCTTTATTAATTTTATAGAGGGAACAAAAAAGGAAGAAGAAAGCACATACCTGGAGGTTGGAGATGGCCGACTTGCCAGATAAGGAGTTAGTATGTTCGCAGATGGAGATAGTACGATCAAAGAAGCTGGATACTAGTCCTAAGGTTATTCTTGACATTTTGTATATAACCCACCTTTTAAGCCCAATGAAGTAAACCTCCTTACTAAGCATATCTTAATAAGCAATGGCTTACTATCCCATGTCTTAATAAGCATTGTTTATTAAACAAGAAAGTAAACATGTCCTAAGTAAACCAAACATTTCAACTCAGCTGATTGTGAGGTTACCGTGCCT